GAGCAGCAGCATGCTGCGCAACGCGTGAAAGAATGGAGACTGGCAAATGCAGAATCCATCGAGCCGGAGCAGGCCACCGCACACAGACGGAGCAAACTACCAACAATGTGGACGCAAGATGAAGTCCTCCCCAGCACGGGCATCAAGTCGCATGCGACCACGCTCGACACGGACCTGCAACAATGGCTCAAGATATGGAATCACGATCCTGGCGCACAATCGTTCGGAGGAGGACTTCGCTTGCAGGATCTTGACGGTGATGGGCGGATGGATCCTCTTGGCGTTGATCAGATTCGCAAGACAGCGCTAACATTCAAGGGGGAGACAGCCTCAGGCATCGACTACCTGGGGCCCATGAACATGGCGTTGTTATCAGATGGTCACCTTCACGCTTTCAATGGGGTGATGGAGGTCCCTGAGAGGATCATCGAAGTTCCCAGTAGGATGAAGAAAACAGCGTTACCGAAGCTCCCCAAACCTGAGCGGGGGCACAGGTTGATCAGATTGATGACGGACACGCTAAGAGTATACAACAGGTGTCGCCAACAAGTTCAGCGAGTTTGGCTACAAGAACATGCTCGGCCTTACCGCTACGCTACGCCCGGCAAAAGCTCGAAGAGAGCGGCCTGGACACAGTCTGTCTTGGCAGAGGCAGGCAGAGCGCTCATGACGCACTCGGCCACGGTCATGCTTGGCTTGAAGAAACCCTTGGAGAAGATCGCACATGCTACTCTTCGGGAGATTGGCAGCAGGCATCGGTTTCCGAAGATGAGACTTGCTATGGCCATCGGGACGCACGCGGGAAGAAGGAGCCTAAAGTTTGGTAAGATAGCTTCCAGGCTCATCAGCACGAACCAAGGGGTCGCGACTACCATGATGAGCTTGTTCACGTGGGGCGCCTATTACCAGGGGCACACGTTGTGCCCCTCTCTCACTAGCAGCGTAGTCGCAGATGATGGCAGCTTGCTAGCGCCGAGCACAGAAAAGGATGCAGTTCGGATCATCATAGCGACGGTGACGCTATTGTGCAGGCCCCAGGCCAAGCTGGGCTTGGAGTGGAGCCCGAACAAGGGGCACGTCATTGCGACGGCACCGAGAATGGCTAAGGAAGTTGGCATGGCATTGAGTGAGCGGGCCTTCCGACGGGCAAGAGTGGCCAGGCAACTTACATGACCGACGCATGGGAGGAGGTGCAAGGATACCCACACACCGAGGACGAGTTGCTGCTGTAGGGCGCAGAGTACCGAAGTTTCGGAGGCTGGCGCAAGGTGGCAGGCAGATAAGTAAGCTCTTCCACTCTGGGGGACTAGCATCTATTGGTTACACGGCGAAGGCCCAGAGCATGGGCGACATGCTGTCGCAAAAAGTCAGAGCGATCTCAGTACATGCTCAGTTCGGACCAGCGCGAGGAGGAAGCAGGACGATTGAGTCTACGTTATCGTACTGTCCTCGGTCAGACCCGACGTTCATTGCGGATGGTACCCGTTGGTGTATTGGCCCAAAGCAAACTGAGAGCAGTGGGTCAAGCCGAAGGCGTTGGCCCTGGCATTCATGCTCGCCCAGAACCACACACGCTCCTGGCAATATGTTCAGGGACCAGCTGGAGCAGCACTCATGGCTCTTCGGCGAATGGGTTGGAGAGCCGAGAGTTGGACTCGTTGGTTTGCAGAGTGTGGGTCGAAAGTTGAGTTGGATGATATCGGAGCCAGCACACTGAGGAAGTTGATCCATGTATCCACCAAAAGGCGCCTTCTGGGGGCAGTTCCTGGCAGTCGTGGAATGGAGGGGCTCACTGGGCCGCCGATTCTGGAGCCAGCTGTCAAGGAGATTGCTGAAGCCAGACGCAAAGGGGACTTCAAAGGAGCTGGACTACTACGGACGTGGCTGGCTGGCGGCTTCTTACATTAAGTGAGGTCGCGTGCAGTTCAAGCGACGGACCCACCGATGTGCGCCATGTGTGGAGCTGAGAAAGGTTCTGACTTGCACAAGTGCTTTCGTTGCGATTGGCATATCAAGAAAAGGCAGGATTGGAGCGGATATGAAACAACAATCATGAGATGGGGACGCAATGAGTATGGGCAGGACCACCCGTGCACGATGATGTTGTGCAAGGGCCTCTTTCCAGATCCGGTGTTTCAATTACCAGTTGCAGTTGAACACCGCACGGTTCGCTGGCATATGTGCACTGTGCCAGGGCTCATCAGTGGAGTTGTGTGTGTGAATGGCAGCTGCATCTTTCCACACTGTGAGTTTCGAGCTCGAGGTGGATGGGCATTCTGTATGACAGATGAGGTTGGCAACGTTGTTGCGGCAGCGTCTGGGCCAGTACCGCTTCCATGGCAGACCTCAGGTGCAGCAGAGTTGTATGCCGCGAGGTAAGCAGTTCTACACAAGTCACAAGGGCGGCTGCACCTGTTCACGGATTTCAAGGAGCTACACATCGGCTGGCAGGCTGGATATCCTTATGGCACACACTCTGATCACCAGTATGCAGAGTTATGGGTACACTTCTGGAATGCAGTGGAGGATGTTGGTGCACAAGAGATTGACATCGAGTGGACTCCTCCGCGTCTGTCTCAGACAAAAGCGAACGAGCTGCAGATTCCTGTGGCCTACTACTGGCACGGCAACAAGCAGGTGGACTTCTACGCGAAGTGCAATGCGGCTATGCACCCCAGGGACATCCCTCAAGAGCGAGCTCGCCAGATGCGCGAGCATGCGGCGGCGTTGACACTGAAAACTGTGCTGCGCATCCTGCGCCGCTGCTCGAGGGCAAAATGGGCAGATGTTGAAATGAAGGAGTATGTTGAGCGACCGGCCGGTCTCACTCTGAGTGATGATAATGGGGAGAATGGGCATCTAGTGCGTAGGTTCAAACGTAGATGGGCTTGCGCGAGGTTCGGGGATAGTCGTGCTCGCAGGTGTGATCTTGTGAACTTGAGCTGTGGAGGACCCCCTAAGGGGGTCCAAGAGGCTCATGACACGCACCGCCTCTGGTATGGTGTGTAGATTGTACTGCTCGTTGCGTTAGTAGAGCATATATGATAGCCAGACCGTGTAAGGGTAGACCACCCCTGGGTTCTCCGAGGCACTTTAAGAGAAAGTACCTTATCCAGGGGAAGGGACCGTCAGGCGAAAAGATAGGAAATGGGTTTCACAAGCCTGTGCCCGTCACCTCGCGTAGCTGATTTTCGGCATTAGCGCTTATGATTCTCGAGTTTCTGGCTTGGTGCCTCGTTCTCGGAGCCCCTCGTCGTCCTCGGAACCCTCGGAACCCTCCTCCGCTCTTCGTGGGGGGAGGGGGTGGGAGAAAGCGGAGGGGGGGAGGAGGGCGAGGGAAGAGGAGGAGGAGGAGGACGAGGAGACGGGAGGGGAGGGGGGGGGGGGCGCTCGGCCAGCGCGCCTCCCCTCGACCTGCACCGAGGGAGGACTTATGCCGACGTCTGTATGCCGGGCGCCTCCGTGTTGTGCGCGCGTGCCCCCTCGCACTCCTTGCCCCTGCCCCCCCCCCACACACTTCCCTCTTCGATTCCTCGTCTCCTCGCTTTCCCCACACGGCCTCCCCCCCGTGCTCTTCCCTATCCTCCTCGTTCTCCTCCTGCTCCTGCTTTCTCCTCTCCCCGCCCCACCTCCTCGCCCCATTGCCCCCCGCCGCTCCTCACCCTCCTGTGTGCATTCCGCCTCACTACCACCCCCTCCCTCTCCTACTTCCGGAGGTCCGCCTCCCGTCCTCGGCCTCAACACCCTTCCTTCCTCCCCCTTCCTCGTCTTCCCCTCCTCCTGGCGTTTCTCCATTTCCCTTTTCCCGCAACCCGTTCCCCCTCCCCCTCCTCTTCCTCCTCCCCCTCTTCACCGCTCCCACTCCCCCTCGCCGTTCCCACTCCCCCCCCCCCCGCCCCGCCCCTTCCTTCCAGACCCCAGCGCTGGAAAAGAACGCTTCGCATATCCGATCCGGGAAGCTCGCCACCTTGCGTGGGGCTCCGGGCACATGCGCACTGCACCCGCCTGGCACCTGCGGCCAGGCGCTGGCGGACGCGAGCATCCAACTCTTCCAGCCTGGGACGGCGCCCAGCCAGCTGCCGCTCGAGGCCGCGCCGTCTCCTCGCAGCAGCGCGGAGGCTCCGCCGAGCGACTCCTCGCACGGCCAGCGCCGGCGACTCGGCTCAACCCTGCGGCCCTGGGCGCCTGGGCCGCAGCCCGGCAGCGCACTCTTCCTGCGCATCGTCGATCACAGCGGTGCCCTTCCAGTCGGGTGGCTGACAGAAGGGGCGCTACAGACAGGGAACGAAGCCCCTCTTGGCCCCAAGATCGCCTGCGTGGACGGGGAGCGCTAGAGAAATGGCCGTGCAAGGGCCTCAGGAACATTGACGTTGGGCCCCTTCCGAACCCGAACTGCTGCTTATTTCAGCGTCTCTTGGCTGCAGTCGCCCTCACCGCCTGGGTGGGGATCAGCCAGGCTGCGCTGGTCGGCGTGCCGCTCACCCGCCACCGCCGCCGCCTTCTCCCCCCCCTCGGCTTCCCGCGGGGCCACCACCTCCTCCTCCTCCTCCTCCTCCTCCTCCTCCTCCTGCTCTTGCTCCTGGTCCTGCTCTTCCTCCTCCTCCTGCTCCTCCTGCTTATCCTGCTTATCATTTCCCTCCTCCTCCTCCTCCTCCTCCTCCCTCCTCCTCCCTCCTCCTTGTCTCTTCCTTCTCTCCTCCTCCTCCTCCTCCTCCTCCTCCTCCTCCCTCTCCTCCTCCTCCTCCTCCTCCTCCTCTTCCTTCCTCCTCCTCCTCCTCCTCCTCCTCCTCCTCCTCCTCCTCCTCCTCCTCCTCCTCCTCCTCTTGTCTCTTCCTCCTCCTCCTTTCCTTTTCCTCCTCTTTCTTCTTCTTTTCCTCCTCCTCCTCCTCCTTCCCCTTCTGCTCCTTCTCGTTTTCCCCGCCCCGCTCCGTCGGCCCGGAGCACAGGATGCAGCGGGCGCGGCTCCTGGCCGTGCAGGTGTCGGCTCCGCGGGCGGGCAGTGTGCCCAGTCGCCGGGGGCAAGAGGCCGCCGCGGTGCGGGCAGGGGGTCGCAGGCATCGCTCTGCAGCATGGCCCCAGCATGCTGGCGAAGGTCGGCCCTCGTCTTGCGAAGCACACCCTGTGCGTCGGCGGCTGGGCAGAGGTTGCTGCTCCGGCGATCGGGCAGCAGTGGGGCGCGCTGGATGCAGATGGGGCCGCAGTGCACGGGAGGAGAGGAGGAGACCCCTGCGCAACGGGAAGAGAGGAAGCCGGGCCCGCCTCAGGGAAGTCCGAGAGGACCTGCATACGTACACACACAAGCGTGCCGAGGAGGAGCTACTGCACCTCACGGACTGCAAGAATCACGTCGTGCACCCAGTGTCGTTCAGCTCTGGCGCCCTGAGGGCCGCGTGGTGCCGCCGGGGGACGTCCCCCCAATTGAGCGCGGGTCTCAGCAGCTCAACTGGTCTCCAGTTCCTTCGGAGCTACGGCAGACCAGTCCTGGCGCCGCGCGGGGACCCTCCGACAGCATGATTTGCTGTATGCGTGCATGCATGTATGCTTGTTGCGCCATCCGTAGACGCCGAGGCTCGAATGCAGAAGTCATCTGCCACGTTCTGGAGCCAGGCAGAGGAGGAGGAGCAGGAGGAAGGAGGAGGAGGAGCAGGAAGAGGAGGAGGAGCAGGAGAGAGGAGGAGGAGGAGGAGGAGGAGGAGAAGGAGGAGGAGGAAAGGAGGAGGAGGAGGAGGAGGAGAAGGAGGAGGAGAAGGAGGAGGAGGAGGAGGAGGAGGAGGACGACGAGGAGGACAGGAGGAGAAGGAGGAGAAGGAGGAGGAGGAGGAGAAGGAGGAGGAGAAGGAGGAGGAGGATGTGGAGGAAGAGGAGGAGGATAAGGAGGAGGAGGAGGAGGCGGAGAAGGAGGAGGAGGAGGCGTTTTGGCAGCGAAAGCCGCGGGGGCATAAAGATTGACCCTTCCCTCTCTGCTGACTCTCCTGCTGTTGCCGCTGCCCCTGCTGCTGCGCCTGCCTCCTCCTCCCAGGGCCACCCCAGGCCCCCGCAGGCTCCTAACTCTTTAAATGACCCCGAGGGGGACCCTTTGGAGAAGGAGGAGGAGGAGGAGGAGGAGGAGGAGGAGGAGAGGGAGGAGGAGGAGGAGGACGAGGAGGAGGCGGAGGAGGAGGAGGAGGAGCCGCGTTCGGAGGTGGAGGAAGATCCGCCTGATGAGGAGGCCGGCCAGGCCCTGCTCCATAGCGTCCGGCCCAGTGTGGAAGCACGGAGTTCTCACCCGTGCCCCAAATGTAAAGAGTTTGAAGAAACGCTTTTCCACCAGATCTGGGAATGCTGCTGTAATCGCGAGCTCCCTTACGAGGGCTTGCACTGGGATCTCCTAGCTGAAGCGCGCGAGGGGGTCCAAGATGAACCGTGCTTCTGGCTCCGCGGACTCACGCCTTGGCATGGTCTTTTAACATAAAGCACCTGGACATCCAGGTGCTTGAGAAGCTGTCCCCCTCGCTGCAAGGAGATAAGTTCTGTCTCCCTCCAGGGGGCCTACATCGGAGGCGATAGGTCTGGAAGCCCCTACCCGTCCGATCCCAGCCTTCGGAGGTGCGGGTGGGGGGCGGCCATTTTCCGTGATGGGAATGTCTTGGGGTGGGCTAAGGGACCTCTCCCCACCTATAAGCAAACGGTCTCCTTGACTGAGTTGTGGGCATGTTTTCGCATGGCCCAGCTAACTGAAGATGACATCATTCCCTACCTGGGCTCTGCCTGGAAGGGTTCTTACTCGGTATGCTTAAAGGGCCGGGCAGTGTTCCACGCCCCGGGCGGTTCCCCCAGTATCCGCCCCGCGGTTCCCCCAGCTACGTCCCCTTAGCTTAGCGTTGCTTAGCTCATCGTAGCTTAGCTTATTTCATCTTAGCATAGCTTAGCTTCATCTTAGCTCAGGTTTATCTTAGCTTAGTTTACCTTCATCTTAGCATCGCTGAGCTTTAGCATAGCAGAGCACAGCATAGCATAGCATAGCGTAGCATGGGTGTAATTCCCTGCCTAGGCTCTGCCTAGAGGGTCAGCTTAGCTTAGCTTAGCTTAGCGCAGCGCTGCATTAGCATAGCATAGCATAACATAGCATAGCCAATCATAGCATATCATATTATAGCATAGCGCAGCATAGCATAGCATAGCATAGTATAGCATCGCGTGTCATAGCATAGCATAGCATAGCGCAGCTTAGCACACCATATCATGACATAGCACAGCATAGCTTAGCATAGCGCAGCACAGCATGCCATAGCATAGCTTGACATATCACAGTATAGCATATCATAGCGCAGCATATCATAATATAGCATAGCATAGCATAGCGCAGCATAGCATGGCATAGCATCCCATATCATAACAACTAATGCTGCTTTCCTAGGGGCTCCAACTTCTAGGTAGGGTCGCACTGGGGTAATTTCTATTGGTGCTAATGATTCGGTGGTCAGCGGGATAAGCTCGGGCCCGCGCTTCCACCACGCTGAGACTTCCACCTTGTGGGACTTGTTCTGGCAAGAGTGTGACGATCGTCGTGTGCGTGCCGTCAAGATCAAGTCCCATGAGCCCGCGTCCGATGCTGTGTTAGTTCGCCACAGCCGCTTCGAGTTTTGGGCGGCAAATTCGGTGGCGGATGAACCAGCTGAGGAAGCGGCAAAGGAAGCCCAACCCCCTGGCTGGGCGATCGCAGAAGTTGTCCGAGTAGATGCACTCAGCAGGAGTCCAGGAGCATATTCTGACCATCTCCCACCATATTGCCATGCATTCTGCACAAATCTATGGCGCCAGCAGTGCCGAGGACAGGGAACGTGAAGGCAAGAGGAGACAACTTGCCAAGCACGAGGCCCTTGCTCGGGAACTGGAGCATATACATCACCAGTGGCGGGCGGGTTTTCAATCCCAAGACTTGTTCGAGGGTCGGGGGCGACGTCAGGGTGGTGTGGTGTATACCTATTCCCCCGTTTTCCAAGGGAAACAAACAAGAACGTATACACCAGGATCCCGTATACACCAGGATCCGCTTCCCTGTGCGAGATTCAGTGCGGGCCAGACAAAGGCGTCGGTGTATAGAGTTCGGTTCCCTACTTGCTCAGCTCACTGCGTCCACCTCGCATTGTCCGATTGATTGCCCCGGCAGGGCGTCGAAGTGTCGCGAATGCATCACGTCCCCGACGGGGGCAGCGGAGAGCTAGCTCCGCTCAGTGCCCTGGGCTCCCTGCTCGAATTCACTCATCCCACCGTCACCTCCAGAGATTCAGAGGCGGTTTCTGGTGCCGTGATTGTGGCAGCTATGCTGCAACAACCTGTACCAAACTCTTCAAGCCCTGTCTCGAGAAGATCTCAGAGCATGGGGGGAAAGTTCTTAAAGCGGTGGAAGCTGGAAGACTCCTGAGCGATATCAAGGCCAAGCCCGAGCCTGAACCCCATCTGGAGCACCCCCCTAGCAACTTTTTTGGCTAGTCTCGGGGAGAGGCCCTGCCGCGGCTCATTGGCTGGGTGGATCGCAAACCAGTCGGTGAGTGACAAATTCTGATGGGCCCCCCTCAAACTTTTGATATAAGGGCTCCGCCATGTGGACACCGCCCTACAGCTACGCAAAAGGCAAAAGGAGAAGGGGGAGGAGGAGGAGGAG